ATGCTTCGATTGGTTTCTTTACAAGTAAGCATAATTTATGCTGGGAATTTTTCTGAAAATTAATGAAAAAAGCTTTTTAATTTAACAAAAAAGGTAAAGAAAAAATATTAAATGATAAAAAAAATAATTTAAATTTCTGAAATCAGAGTCAACATTCTAAAAAAAATTATTTGTTTGTAATAAATTAAACCAATGAGTTTTACTGCAAAGAAAGCCTAGCTTTCTATTATGAAACATTGGTTATCCTTTTAAAGGTAGGAGGATAGTAAATTACTGAGGTGGTTTAAAGCATTTTTTCTGGATTAAAGGCAAATAGTTTTTATTGTTAAATACTACTTATAAGTGGATAAAAATTCTGATTGAGTATGGTAGGTCTGTTCTTGGTCCACTAATATTTGTACTGCTCATAAGCCAGATGTTATCAAGTCTTCACTCAAGCTCTTTGCTAGCAAATTAATAAATGAGTAAATAAAAAATCAGTTTGACATTGAACAACAACAGCCAGATCTTGATACTAGTAAGTAACCGGGATCCAGGTCCTGGTGTAGTCTTTAAATTTTATTTATAAATTTATGCATTCATTTTCTATTTATTAAATACTGGCATACAGCTGTGTACCCTCCGGTTTTTTACTAGTCACATTGCGGGCGACTGAAATAGTCTATAGATTTCTTACTCGAGTTATTTGCTTTAATAATCAGTAGTTCAGTATAATAATTTTTTTTGGTGTTTTTTATCTTGAATGAAAATACTCAAGAAAAAAATTTTAACGTTCTACTAAAATTTTAACGACTACTAAAATACAACTAATAAGTAACAATTTAATTAAAAGTAAATTAATTTTAAAAATGAAAGAGAAACTTTACAAGCTGATAAAAAATAACGTAAAGTAATTTTTGAAACAAAGAGATGTTAGTGAAGAAACTCAACGCTACTTTGAAAGATCTTTAGTTTTGTTGTAGTTTCTGTTTTGCGTCATTTTTTGTCAATTTTAATAAAGGTTTCATTACGCAGAGAGTTGAAAACCATAATTGCAAAGAAACTGTTTATAAAAAGAAAAAATATTCTATTACTCTCTCTCTCTCTCTCTCAATCTTCAAATAAATTTAGTTGAAAATTAAGTTGAATGTTTAAAATATGTTTTAATTGTAATTCATTATATTAAGGGATTGTCCATAAATTCTTAATTTCTTCCATAAAACTTTAAATTTCACAATTTAACAAAAAAAGATTAGAAGTTTTTCCTTGCAGAGCTTTAATTAAATAAAAAATCAAAACAGCTGATTAAGTTTAATAAAAAGTTTAATTCTAATTTTAATTTTCATTCTAATACTGTTGTTTTCATTCTAATACTGTTGTTTTCATTCTAATACTGTTGTTTTCATTCTAATACTGTTGTTTTCATTCTAATACTGTTGTTTTCATTCTAATACTGTTGTTTTCATTCTAATACTGTTGTTTTCATTCTAATACTGTTGTTTTCATTCTAATACTGTTGTTTTCATTCTAATACTGCTGTTTTCATTCTAATACTGTTGTTTTCATTCTAATACTGTTGTTTTCATTCTAATACTGTTGTTTTCATTCTATTACTGTTGTTTTCATTCTAATACTGTTGTTTTCATGTGCATCTTAAGAATGTTTTTTATTACAAGTATATATACATATATATATAAACTAATTTACTTCTGACAAGGTTGCAAGCAACCACTATTAAGTGATTACAAGCAACCACTATTATTGAGTTAGTAGAAAAAAAAGTATAAAAGGGTTAAAGATAAAGGAGGAAACGGTTAAATTAAGACTTAACAAGTATTGTGTCAAGAAAACATGAAGATTGGTGAGAGTTTTGAAATTTTGTTGATGTGCAAGGAAATTATCTAGGTAAATAAAAAATTTTATAACATGGAGGGACAAATACAGTAAAAGGATGCAACTTTTTTGAATTAGAAGCCAATCGATAATCAGTTATAGTTAGTTGAACTAGAGATGATAGCTCGTTTGAGCAGTGACCATAATAATGTATGTAAAAAAAAGAAAGAGATGTAACCTTACAACAATGGGAGATTGGCTCAAACATGGCAAATAAAGCAGGTCCAATTACATGTACAATGTGATTTTGGACCTTGTCTGAGAATAAGAGGGTTGGTGTTTTTCAGTATACAAATGTGAACAATATTGCGATAGTTGTTAGCAGTAAATAACTTAATTTTATTGGAGTTAAAATCCACAAGCCACTGCCCGCCCCAGGCTGTTACAGAAGAGAGATCTGGTTAAAGATCGGCTGCTTGTTCTTTATCAAAAAATGAATACTTTTGATTGCTTGTTCCAAGCAATCAAAATGTTAAGAGAAAAGTATAAAGTTGAGTTCTTACTTTAGATGTATGATTGTCAGGAAGATTTTTATAGTAGATAAGAAACAATACAGGCCTTGGAGAATTTAATACTGGGATGATGATGCTGGTGGTGTTGGTGGTGGTTGGGTGGTGATAATGATGATAATGATGATAATGATGATGATGATGATGATGATGATGATGATGATGATGATGATGATGATGATGATGATGATGATGATGATGGTGTTGATGATGATGATGATGATGATGATGATGATGATGATGATGATGATGATGATGATGATGATGATGATGATGATGATGATGATGATGATGATGATGATGATATTAATAATGTTGATGATGATCGTGTGGATCATAATGTTTTTTATATATAAATATACATGCATAATTGTATAAAACAAGAGTTTTAGATTTAAAAAATATACTATAGGTTGAATGATTGTTAATACAGCCCCATTCACAGTTCCGCCCCTAGGCTATTTTATATCAAACCCGGCCCCAGTCAAATGTCAACCCCAGTCACTTACTACTTGATGACTATACAATAGCAAGAATGTAACTTCACCAAGGTTCCCACAGTCTTGAAAAATCCTTGAAAGTCCTAAAGTTTAAGTATTGTCCTGGAATTTTTTTTTTTTTTTTTTTTTTTTTGAAAATTCTTGTCCTAAAATTTGCAAAATTAAATCTGAAAAAATATTGTCATTTAAAAAAAAATCGTTTTAAAGATAAAATTTAAACTTAGTTACATTACATTTTATCTTTCTGATTTATGAATAATTTATTAATCAAGAATATTTTCCAATATTATTAATCAAGTATATTCACCATATTTAGTTTAAAAAAAATATTTCAAAAATATATAAATTGTAGTACATATTTAGTCACTTCAGATGGAGTCTCTTGAAGGAATGAAGTTAAAAAATGTGCCCCTCTCATCCTAGTTTTCAAAAAAAATTTATAAAAACTTTTTGATAAAACATAAATAAAAAAGATAATAATCCTTAATCTCAGGGTTGAATGAGTATAGTAAATTGAATTAAAAAAAAAAAAACTGTTTAAATTCTGAGTTTTCAAATTTTTTTAAAGATATTGTTGTTAATACAAGTTAGTTCTTGGCTGTATTCAGGAATGCATTGATGTTTAATATTGTTAATATAACATAATGCTAGCTTTGCCATTGCTATTTTATATTGTAAAAAATATATGAAAAATTGATTGATCAATATAAAGCAAAGTTACAAGTATTGTTGTCAACTTGTTATTTCTTTCAGACAAACTCAATTACTTTATTTATAAAGAGACATGTGGTATCCACACCATTTGTAGGAGCTTGAAGCTTAAAAGCTGTGGCAAAAGCAAATGGCTAGGAATTAGAATTTTTACACAACCACCAGATGAGGAACAGGAAAACATGAAACACTCAAATATCCTTTACAATTTTGTGGACACCAAAAAATTTATGTAGGGACAGGTGATTTAAAAATGAAGTGTACATTAAAACTGAAGCCATTCTTACAAAATTACAAAATATTGTAACATTTGTTATTATTCTCAATAAAAGCAAATTACCAGATATCAAATACAAAATTTGACAGAAATTCAAAATTAAAAGTTTTTAGCAGTTTTGTTGACACATCTTTTTTTGTTTTCCATTGTATCTTCTGCTGTATTGATAAATTCAATTCAAATAGCAAAAATAATAGCAAACAAAGTCAGTCAACAGTTTTTTTATTTTATATTTGCAAAAAATAGTAAATTGAGATTGTCTGTCACTAAAGTCTGCAGAGCTGGAGAAAGAACAATATTGAAAACTATTGACATCAGCTAAAAGATTGATTCGATTGATTTTCCCCTGAGTTTATTAGGAATGAACCCAAACAGACAAAAATAGTTATATAAAGCAAAAAAAGGAAGAAATTGATGAATTAGATTTAACAGAAAATTGCTAAACAAGCACTGGACAGTATTTTATATCTGACATCCTTTAATGGTATTTTATTATTGTTAATAAAACTGACATTATCCTTAGTTGGTATTTTATTATTGTTAATATCTAAATACCATCAAAGGATAGCTGACACTATCCTTTGATGGTATTTTATTATTGTTGATACAACTGACATTATCCTTTGATGGTATTTTATTATCAAAAGTCAAAACATGCTTCATTTAAAAAAATGTTCAGGTAATGGAACCCTATAATGCTTAAATACACTTTCAAACACATTTTTGAGGCTTTAGCTTGGGTAACCTTTTGTGCTTCTATTAACAAGTTTATGAAAAAGTAATTAAAAAGAAATAGCATAACTAATAAATAACATCCATATTCATTTGGTCAGTTTTATATTACTGCTCATTTGTATTATTTTTAATATTTTTAACTTGATAATTTAAATAAAAACTAAAATTAACCCATTTTTTTTTTTTTACTTTGCAACTTGTTAAGTTTTTTCAATATTTTTTGTTTCTTTTACTGCAAGGTATAAAGGTTTTGTTTTGTTTGTAATATTGCAGTAAAAGAATTTTTAAATTCAAAATTTTACAATTAGTTTGCATAGTTGAATTTGTATTAAGTTTAAGTTTGAACAGATTCAAATTATGCGTAGAATAGAACAATATTTTATTAACTATTAATAGATTACTGGTCAAATGTTGGATGTCGTTTTGTTAGTAAAAACAATTTTACAGTAACTTGTGAGTGTGACCATCTTACAAATTTTGCTCTTATCTTTGATGTATCACAAGATGAAAAAACAACAATACAAATGATTGGAAATAAAGCATCAGATCGGATTTCTTTGATTGGATGTGCAGTATCATTAGTAGGCTTATTTTTAACAGCATTAAATCTGGTTTTATTTAAGTGAGTACTTTTTTTTAAAGTTTGATTTAATTGGTTAATGTTTTTTTAAAGTTTGATTTAATTGGTTAATGTTTTTTTAAAGTTTGATTTAATTGGTTAATGTTTTTTTAAAGTTTGATTTAATTGGTTAATGTTTTTTTAAAGTTTGATTTAATTGGTTAATGTTTTTTTAAAGTTTGATTTAATTGGTTAATGTGTTCCTTATGTGTTATTTTAACTTTTTTAAATTATATTTAAGTTGTGAAATTAAAATATTAGTTAGTAAATAAACTTATCTTATGGACTATAATAACAGGTTTTGACATTGCAATAAAGTTTTGACGTTGTGCAATAATATTGTGTTTACAATTTTGTTTTAGTGGAAAGTTTGTATTTTATGCAAACTTTATATAAACATATATACATCCAAATAAACCCATGGAAAAACTATGGGTATTTGGAACCTGTTTATGGTTTTATAACTATGGGAAACCCATGAGTTTTCCATGGGAAATCCATGAGCTTTCCATGGAAAAGTGTTTCAAATTTTCCAAAGTTTCCATGAGTATTTGGAACACCTTTCCAAGAAAAACTCATGGATTTTCCATGGTAAAATAGCATGTTTTGTTTTCAATTTTTTTTGATCTAATGTTATTTGAATTGTCATATTAAACTATAAAAAACAAATTTTATCATGCAATTCGCCAATATTATTGAGTTCTTTTAATCTATGGGATCGCTTTCACAGAATAAAATCAATAAACAAATTTAAATCTTGTTGAATCCTATAAATCTTTGAAAAATAATAACTATAATGCACCTAAAACATTAAAAATTGACTTCACAATATTTAACGCATGCATATGTATAAACATACTGAAAATAAATAAAATAAAAAATTACAAATAATATCATACTATAAGTGATATACATAGAGTGATGAACAATTGAAATAGATTAAGAAAACAATTGTTTATTATTTTATATTAACTATTTCATGAAAATAGTATATATAAATATGATAATTAACAACTTCAAGTTTCATCAAATTAAAAAGAATTAATACAACATATTCAATCCAAAAAAACATCAAGACCATTTATAAGTGCAATTGCACCACCAACTGTGTCTGTAGAACCAGGTAAACGTCAAACAAAGTACTATTCTCATTTTGATATTCATTATTATCTATTTCACCAATCTAGACTATACATCATACAATTAATATATACATACTAGCTAATTGTTTTTATTTACTAATTAATTATTATTAAATTTATACTTATTATCTATTATAACTTACTTTATAATTACACATTAACACACAACTTTTTGAATGTTCTATATAAATGTTGCCAAATGTTGGGTAACTTATCCGACACTGCTTATTATGCTTATCTAATATATTAGATAAGTTTTATAATAATAATTATATTAGTTTTAATGTACATTAGATAATTAATAATATAATTAATAATTATATTTATATAATTAATATAAATAATTAGATTTTATGTACATTAGATGTATTAATACACTAGTTATCTAATGTACATCAAAATTAAAATATTTTTTATTTTAAACCAAATCAACATTAAAAATCAAACTGATTCACTTGACATACTTGCTATACTATTGCAAGTTATGCAAAGCAAGCAAAGCTATTGGCAATAGCTAGAATAAGTATATGCATAAATAATATATAATTAAATATATAAATAATAAATATATGCATATTAAAATGCATTATAATATAATAATATACAGAGATGTGAAGACAGAATAGACCATGACTAAGACCAAGACATTTTAATTTAATAACAAAACAACAGAACAAGAGAAATGAGTCTTGAGACCAACATCTCTGATAATATCATATTATGATGCATTATAAAATGCATACATTTAGCATATTTTAGCTATTACAAATATGTCTAGTTGTTCATGTCTATATGTTAAGTTTGAATCATATTAAATGTGATGCATTATAAAAAACATAACTTATAGTCTTATTAAATACAGAAAAACAGAAGAATGTAGAAAATATTGTTTACTCAAGTTAAAAATGATTGTAACTCTACATAACAAAATATATAACTTACATAACAAAATTACTCTTACATAACAAAATATATTTACAATATATTTTGCTTATACAATTAAAATAATCAAATAATAAAAACAATAATGGATGTTTTTTTTAGAAAGCTGCGCCAGAAACTTCCAATGAAAATTTTGTTTTGCTTAAGCATGTCATTAATGGCTATGCTTATAGTATTTCTTTCTGGAGTAAATCGTGGCTCCTTATCTTCAATTTTTTCCTGTCATTTAGTTGCTGGGTTGCTACATTATTTTGTTTTAACCAGCTTTTGTTGGACTGCTGTTGAGGGATTGAATTTATATATCAATTTTGTAACAATTTTTAAAAAGTATAGCCCTAATAAGTTTATGCTGTTTTCATCAATATTTGCTTGGGGTAAGTTTTATTATTTATAATCACATAAAATTTATATATATATATATATATATATATATATATATATATATATATATATACATATATATATATATATATATATATATATATATATATATATATATATATATGCAATATATTTATTATTTATATATATATATATATATATATATATATATATATATATATATATATATATATATATATATATATATATATATATATATATAATTATCTTTTTTAACTATTTTATATGTTTAATGTAGTTCAATGTTGTATGTTTGTTAGTTATGCTTTTTAATTATTTTATTCGTCATATTTAGGGTTTCCACTTATAATTATTATTATAACTGCATCTCTTGGTGGCTATTCTGATGTTGATGCTAAAGTGTATGTTTTCATGATGTTTAAATGTAGTTTTTATTTTATGTTAATACAATTCTGAATATAATCTAAACTATACAAACTATATTGTTGGTTTGTATAATAATTGTATAATAAACATGGCTGGTAGCTATTTTATATTTTATCATTATGTGTTTTGTAAATATATATATATATATATATATATATATATATATATATATATATATATATATATATATATACAACAACAAAATTTGATACACAGGGGTTGCCATAAAACATAAAAACAAGGTCGGTTTTTTGCCGACCTCAGACACTTTAAGGTCAGCAGTTAGGTCGGCATTGCCGAATGACGACCCTATTTCTGAGGGTTGTATATATATATATATATATATATATATATATATATATATATATATATATATATATATATATATATATATATATATATATATATATATATATATATAACCCTCAGAAATAGGGTTGTCATTCGGCCTATATATGTATATATATATATATATATATATATATATATATATATATATATATATATATATATATATATATATCGACATTCGGCAATGCTGACCTAACTGCTGACCTTAAAATGTTTGAGGTCAGCAAAAAACCGACCTTGTTTTAATGTTTTATGGCAACCCCTGTGTATCAAATTTTTTTTATTGTGTATATATATATATATATATATATATATATATATATATATATATATATATATATATTTACAATATATAGACAGAAGTTAATTTGAAGCATGTCAAGGGAAAAGCTACATAAATAGAAGTAACTATGTAGAAGCAGTTACAATAAAATAAATGTCACAAGGTTGAGCAAGTGGAACAAGAAATGATATCTCACTTTTGATTAGCAACCATTCAGTATTTGTTGAAAAGGAAAAAGATGCAATTTTAGGATGATGTGACAGTGGCATTTCCAATAGGTTTTTTTTTCAAAATACCTCTATTTCATTCAGCATCTTGTCTAAATGAGATATAGTATTAATGTTGAAAACCCACCCTACTATGACTAATATGTCTAAACAGATAGATAGTATTTTCCTAAATCTATTCTACATTTGATTTATGCACTGAAACCCCTGCATTTGGCTATTTCAGCATGACATCATCAATGCCATTTTATGCATGGCTAAGTACATAAATATAATTTTTACAGAATGATAGCATAGCAACCAGCCGTGATTAATATGTTGTTATGATTAATTTATTTATTTTATTCTCTAGATGTATTATACGCCATTATTATTTTTATTATGGTTTGCTGACTCCTGTTGCTGTAATTTTACTAGTGAATTTTTTTACTTTTTGCATTGTAATGAAAAAAATAAATGCAAGAAATTTTAAAAAAAGTGTACATTACAAGCACACTCTTTACTCAAGTCGTATAGCATTTTCATGCAGCACTTTACTTGGTTTATCGTGGGTGTTTGGTATTTTTGCATTAAACAAAGTGGCGAGGCATTTTCAAATTCTTTTTGTCATATTTAACAGTCTTCAGGGTTTTTTTATATTTGTATTCTATATTGCTCGAAATCCAGAAATTCAATCAGAGTGGCGTCTTTTATTAAACAAGTTAATAGTTCGTGACAAAAAAAATCATAAAATGGGCATTAAAAATAAAGGTTAGTTTTAAAAAACTGATAGTTTGTAAATATATCTTATAAATTTTTTATAGTTATAGTTAATATATACTTTCATATATAAAATTATTATACAATTAATATATACTTTCATATATAATTAGTATATAATTAATATATACTTTCATATATATAGTTAATATATACTTTCATATATATAATTAATATAATTATATTATAGTACTAATTAATATATACTTTTATATGTATTTTGTTTATTATGAGTTATTGGTTAAATTTGTTATGTATATTAATTTATCTATTTATAGTTATGTATATTTATATATTGTATTTTATTTATCGTGTATTTTATTTAGAATTATTTATAATATTAATATATTAATATTAATTATATTAATATATTTTAAGTTAAGCTTTTATTTTGTTTTCATGTTTCAAAAAAATGCTTTAGTTTATATATATAGCTTAAAGTTAATTAAAATTAAATTAAAGTTAATTGAGCCTAATTTTAAAAATTGACAAAAAGAGGTGTCTTGCCAAATATACACAAAAAGTTGTCTTGCCAAATTGAAAACACCCTTATAAAAGCTACAATTCTATAGCAAAAGAGTGGCAAATGCATTGTAGTTTAGTTTTTTAAAATTATTTAAAACTGTATCTCATTTTTGCTTATTTATTAAACCAGCATCGTTAACTGAGAAAATACTTATTATATACATTTATCAACGTCAATGCATTTTCCATGTCTACGTAGGAGTTAATAATTAAGAATATAATCAAAAATACCTAATATATAATATAATTAAAAATACCTACCTTAAGAATATAGTTAAGACCTACTCTGCTTGTCATCTTATTTAATGCTGATGGTCATGTTTTTTTTTTTAACAAAATTCATCAAACGCAAATCTGATTGTTTTCAAATTATAAAACTGATTAGAAATTTGGTTCAAAGATTAACCTAAACGTCTCACTAAGCGAATGAATGAAGCAAATAAGAAAAAGCAAGTAAACTTTGCAAAAACTTTTAAAATTGTCAAAAACATTAGACAGTACAATTTGTGGGTACAACCAATTCAAAAGTTTAAAATTTTATTAAAAACCCACAGGAATAAATTATTTTCTTTAAAATATTTAAACTTTTATTATCATAATATATATTCTTTTTTTTTATTATTATTTTATTATTTTTAAATTATTATTTAGTTTTAAATGAAAACTGATGAATACTTTTTGTTTTAGTAGTTTTCTACGCATTTTGTGTATGTATATTGTGTGTTCACACTTGTGTGACACATATTGTGTGTTCACACTTTCTACACATTTTTGTGTGCACACTTTATTTGAAGTATTTTGTGTATACACTTTATTTGATTTGTTAGTTAAATGATTTGTAATCAGTTCAGGCAATTTCTAAGGAAAGTTCATGACTTGACCAGACCAACAATAATATTAGATCAATTATTACTGGATTAGCAAATAAATTGCAAAATTGTTTGTTAAAAGCAACACAATGTCTTGATTATGATGATTTAAAGAAAAATTAAATTTCATAGATACAAGTTTTTTTATATATATTAGTTTTTTTAATATTTTATTTTATATATATTAGTTTTAACAAAAATTTTAATAAAAAAAAAATGTCAAAAATTTTGAAAATAACCCCCATATTTTTTCATATTAGTTTAAAAATTTATCAGTTAAAACATAGTCATAGTATTTAACTAGTCTGGAAACGCAGGCCGCTTTCTATAGATTTTGTAAAATAATTTGAGCTTGAAGGGGTGACCGGACTGAGAGTGCATCAAATGTTTTTAAAATAACTTTTTGTAACGCAGACTTTAAAAATTTGAATGAATTCGATGCTGTTTTAGCTGCTATTGAGTTGCTATTTGTTGGAGACAGATCTCAATTTTAGTTCAAACATTAGACTACCTATTTTAATTTATCCTAATTAAAGCGAAGAAAGAATATTTATGTGTTTGTTTTGCAAGAAACGATGTATATCACACAGTGACTCGTCACCTCAACGCCAACCACAAGGACAAGATTACTGATAAACATTTAATAAAGAATAAAAGAAAGCAAAGATTGTTCTTCATCCTATTAGATTATATAATTATTTTATCAAGATTGCAGTAAATCTTGTTTCAGATAAATAGTACTTTGCTACAAGCTGTTATTAAAATTTTAAAATCAAGTATAAATATTTCAATTATTTCGAGAAGAAGTCATTACAGCTTAGTTCCTAGCAAAAATGTAATTGATTCATTTGATTACTTAGATAGCTAACTTTATGAATCCTGGCAACCCTAATTATTTACCTTTAATTCTTGATTTATGTCTTGTCTCTGATTCTAGTGTTTAGTTTCTTCTTTTTTTCCCTTAGGTGGTTCTGACCATGCAATCATCTCTATAAATCTTTCATCTCATTCTTCTTTTTTGGACTCACCCTATCATCACACTTCTTGCTACTACCCTAAAGCTGACTGAGATTCTTTTTGTGATTTGCTTTTTGATGGTCCTTGGGCGACATCTTTTATCTCTCAGCAAATAAATGCACCTCCTAGGTAACCTGGATTCTGTCAGGAATGAAGCTTTTATTTCTTCTTGTCAGTTGTAAGTTAGTTCTTATTCTACTCTATGGTTTTCACCTTCTTGTGCAGCTGCTATATCTAATCGTAATAATTTTTTTCATTTTTTTAAAAGAAGAACTCTCTTGAGAATGAAGACAAGAACAAACGGCTATTTATTATTGCAAGAAATCGATGTAAAAAGGTGCATTCTGATGCTAAGCTTCATTATTTTCAGTTCACTAAATCTCACATCTCATCTCAAAAATTAAGCCCTAGAGATTTTGGCAAAATCTTCAACAGTGGTATTAACAAGGGTTAATATATCTTTTACAACATTCCACCTCTCATTTATTGGACTGATCTTTTACAACATTCCACCTCTTATTTATTGGACTGATCTTATTACTTCTCCAAAGGATAAGGCAGAACTATTTGCAAAGAACTTTTCTTCTAATTCGACTTTTAAATCTTATGGCCATTCCTTTTTTTACATTCCAATAAACAGATTAACCCATTGTTAGACATTCAAATTACTCCAAATTCCATTGTTAAAGTCATATCTCAATTAAATTTTTCTATGGCTTATATCTCAATTAAATTCTTCTATGATCTGTTGTCCCAATTTTCATAAATTTCGGAGAACATTCTGACCCCTCCAATTTTTGTCTAATCAGTCTTCTTTCTGTTTTTGTCAAGGTCTTTGAGTCTTTAATCATTAAATTTCTCACATCCCATCTTGAGTCAAATAACTTACTGTCAGACAATCAATGCGGTTTTTGATCTTTTTCGATCTTCTTGCTCTTGCTGACTTAACTGCTGTGACTGAAAGATTTTATTGTGCATTAGGTGAGGTGATGAGGCTAGAGCTATTGCTCTTGACATATCTAAAGCTTTCCACAACGTTTGGAAAGCTGGTCTTATCCATAAGCTTGCTTCATATGGAGTATCTGGAAACGTTTTTGAGAAATCATCCTTGAAGGCCAAAACTCATTTCAAGTAACTTCTGGGGTACCTCAAAGATCTATCCTCAGTCCTATTTTGTTTCTTATCTACATTAATAATCATCTTGACGACATTACATCTAAAGTAGCTCATTTTGCTGATTACTCAACTTTATACTCCTGTCTTAACAAATAGTCTTCTCTATTCGATCGCTTAGAACAGGCAGCTGATCTTGAATCTTATCTCACTTCTGTAATAGATTGGGGCTCACATTGGCTTGTTAATTTTAACTCTAATAAAACTCATTTATTTACTACAAACAACTATTGCAATATGGTCGACATTCCTATTCTAATGAATGGCAACCTTCTTTCCAACCTTCTTTCTGGGTCCTCTTCTTTATATCTTCTTGGATTATCGTTTACTACTGACCTTTCATGTAAACCATATATACAATTGATTATTAAATTAGCATCTGTTAAAGTTGTATCTCTTTATCGTGCCCTCCATTTTCTTACCTCTGATTCCATTCTTTACCTCAACAAATCTCTTATTCGTCCCTGTATGGAATAATGTTGTCATATTTGGGCTGGTTCTAATGATGCTCTTTCTCTTCTAGACAAGGTCCAAAAATGCATTTTAAACAAAGTTGAACCCGGTCTATCTGAGCCTTTTTCCCATCGTTGTAATGTTGCAGCTCATTCTCTTTTCTACAAATACTATTATGCTTACTGCTCAAAAGAGCTATTATCTCTGTTCCATCAACTAAAACTTGTTCTCGTTTGACTCGTCATTCAGCTAAGTCTCATTCGTTTACTGTATCTGTTCCTGGATGTTTTGCTGACTCATACAACCTACATCCTTTCAAGTCTTTTGTCAAACGTTTACTTGCTCTATAACTCTTTTCTTTTTTTTTTCATAGTAACTCCCAACTTAATAGTGGTTGCTTGCAGCCTTGTTGTGAGGGAATCATATTAAAACTTTTACAAAAAACAAGGAAAAAAATTTAGGGTATATTTACATAAATAATTTTTTACATTAATAGTAATTAAAACAACAATAATAATAAATTGTTAAATGCTAACAGTTTCATTTATTTAAATAGTATATCATTGTCAAGCTAAATTTATTCATTATTGACAAAACAAAATTAATAAATTTTGTACCTTTGAATCTCTGAAAGTTTATGAATGAAGAGACTCCAGCTTATTTACTAATAAGCCCAGGAACATCAACTATTTTACCAACTAAGTCGATAAAACTTGAATATTGAACACCACCTATTTTAGTGCAATATGCACTAAAATAGGTGATGTTCAATATTTAAGTTTTATTGACTTAGTTGATAGATTTAAAGTATGAAAAAGCTGTTTTTTGTTTAGGAGGATATAAAAGTTTTTATATCCTCCTAAACCTGTGTCTTCTGTGTTATTTCTTACACAGAAAACATATGTGAAAATAATTCAGAGAATTATTCTAATTATTGAATAATTAGAATAATTATTCTAACAATGTGAAAACTTTTCTGATTTAGAACTAAAAAGTCCTATAACTTGCAAACAAAATTATTTTATGTTTAAGAAAAAAAAATATTCGAAAATTTAATATTAGCCAATAGAGGTTATTTTCCACAAAGACATTTTATACAATTTATATTTCATTGATTTTAATTTAGCTGAATAAATATTTATTGATAATGATCGATATTCAAATATTTAGATAAAAAATAACCAGCCTCCTCGACCTTAGTCACTCTCTCGTGCTTAAGGAGGTGAATTTAGTAAAAAGTAAGATAAAGAAAAAAAGTATTAAATAATAAAATATTAATATTAAAGTATATATTTTTTTATTTATAACTGTTTAATATTTTAATTTTTTTTTTTCGTATAATATATTGTCACATTTTTTAAAAACGGTTTTGTTGTGAATATTTAGGTTATGTCTCGGATACGTCAAAGAATGCGAGTGAAAACTTTAGTAATCTCACGGATCTGAGTGTAACATCTAAATAAAGTTTCTATCAAAGAATTTGGGTTTGGAATTCGGGTTCATCAAAGAATCTTAGTGCCAGCATCAATCATGTAATTAATGTCAGCACCAATCATGTGATTAGCATCAATCATGTGATACATCTGAGTATTTATATAATTATTTTATACTACTGTGATCAGAGTAAAACAATTGTATGACTAAAATTGTGGTTGAACTTTTTGTTTTATCTATTCGGTTAAAGAATTGTTCAGTTTCCCAAAGCCCATCTAAATCCAATCCAAGGCCCATTTAATAGTAAAAGTAGTTGGGCGTTGCATAAATTTTAACGGCTTCTTAATTGAATGGCTTATATATCTGAAATTAAACGCATTTTCTTAATAAAATGTCATCTTTTTAATTGCAGGAATTAAACGCACTCATTTGGGAATTAAAATTTCCCAAATGAGTGCGTCTTTAGCGCAATTTTTATAATTTTGTTTTTCGTGCATCAGGAGAGCTATAGAGCCTTAGATTTTTCATGTATAAGGAGAACTATAGAACCTTAGATTTTACGGTTTTAAATGTTAATACTATTCATATTGTCATTTAATGTTGTATTACAAATTATAATTTGTTGTAAAAAAGTTGTTACTGTGATAAGCGACGCAAATCCTGACGAGTCAATAGTTGTCCCTTATTTTCTTTTTGACCCCAAATTTCCTCTCCCAGACTACTTTTAGCTTACTTATTTCATTGAGGCGGAAATATTTTGCTTTACATAATGATACATTTCAAAAAAAAATCTACATTAAGATATTTTAATGTAAAGAACTTGCCTTATCACTCGCTTGTTTATATAAGTGCGTTATTATTTACTTTTTATCCACTTTATTTTACCCGTTGTATATTTATTATCTTTATTGGAAAAACAAGTTCATTAAGTTTTATAAATAAAACTTAATGAATTTGTTTTTAAGACGCAACTGGGAGTTTTAACAAAATAATACGATCAAAATAACAGTTTTCATTTTTTGACTTTGTCAGGTAACTAAGTTTTACATTTACGCACTTTAACATCTCTGATGAAAAACATGCATTTTGTGGTTTTGTAAAAAATAAAATTATATGCTCAAATAAGTATTGTTTACAAATATTACAATTATTTTATCGTTATTGAAAAATTTTCAATGGGCAATACTTTTCAAGGTATTTATATTAAGTTTTAATAAAATTTTTTAATTATTTTTATTTAAATTTTTTGTAAAAAATTTTTTGTTTATATTTTATCGCGTAAAACTGCAATCTTTATTAGATCATACCTTGCTAACAGACCTGTTTACAAATTTTAAAAACTCAACAAGTTGTAGTTATCAAATTTTGTTTTTATTTTTAAGTGGGGGTTTAATGGTAGTTACGGTCATAGCGCATATAAACAGAGTTTTGCTATTGGAAAAAACTCAGATGCAAATGTTTTTTTAACTTCAACCCTACCTTTATAACTTTTGTATACAAATTCAGTTTCAGGTTATGATGTTATGGGGCTGTTCAGTAATTACGTCAACAAATTTTTTGAAATTTTTACCTCTCTACCTCCCCCTTGTCAACAATTGGTCAAATTTCCAGAGACCCCCCCCCCCCCCCTCTATAAAATTACGTCAGCTTTTGATTATCCCCCCCCCCTCCCCTATACAAAGAAACTACGTTACAAACTCAGCCTAATTTTCCGTTATTTAAGCAATGAAACTCAAAAAAAAAATTGTTGACGCCAACTTTAGTTGACCTCCCCTCCCCCGTGTCAACAATTGTCAAAAAAGTTCAGATCCCCTTCCCCCTATTTTGTTGACGTAATTAATGGACAACCCCTATACAGTAGAAAAACAGGACGCCTGCATTTCTTCAATTTTGCAGATCAATCAGGCTGCAATTTGCAGATCAATCAGGCTGTATGAAAATGTTCAGTCAATTATTAATGAAAAAAATGTTAAAGATTAAATTAAAAGTTAAATCTTTGATTCCTTATAACATTGTTCAAAACAAAATAAAAATAAATATACATTACAAATGTGTTAACAATGATTCACGGAAAAGCTTGTAATAAAAAAACATTTAAAAAATTCGCAATGCATTGTTACTTATTTTCTGCTACTTTAACTCAATAGAATGATATCAACTTTGTTAAAAAATAAATAAAATGTACAAATCCATATTGGATTACGGCTTATCAACGTTGCACGCATGGATACGTTTTTCTTTCTGAATGTTTTTTGCATCTTTAGTGTAAACTTGGAATAAAATAATCGCAAGCACGTTCAAATATTGAGAAAAAAATAACATCAGAATAAAAACTTTTAATCCAAAATGCTTTTCAGATCTAGCTAGGCTTAATAGTCAAGCGATTGAAATCATAATGTACCAATACGGGAATACAATTCGAAATACCAATGATGAGAATACCAATGACGTATGTCATTGATGTCAATGAGGTATTTTCATCATTGGTATTTCATCATTGGTATTATTGGTATTATTGGTATCATTGGTATCATTGAAAAATATTCTATTCTAATAAACATACAATAAATGACTCTAAGATTTTTAATTCTAACTATCTTTTACGATTGATCTCTCATAGAAATCTGTATATCTTCTCTAATATCATCTATGAATTTTAGATAATGTTGTCATGCTTTGACTAGTTTTATGATGTTTTTTCTCTTTTAGGCAAGTGCATTGGGAATATAGACCGGCTCTATTAGCCAAGCTAGAGTCTCATATTGTTGTAAGGTTGCATAATTTTTTCTATAAACACTACCATAGTAGCTGTTTAAGCAAGCAGCAACCATGATAGTGTAGTAAATAAACATTACCACTAAAAGTTGCTTCTTTAGAGTTCTTTATACTTTTCTGATTTGCGTAATTTACAATTTTTTAAGTTTTCTGTGAAACCTATTCCTTGTTTTTTAACACTTTTCTTTACTTTTAAGGAACTCTTTCTCTCCTTTTTATAAAGCAAATTTGCGAACTTTTTATATTTCCTTATAAACTTTTGTTTATATAAATATACATTTTCCGTGTATCTTCCGCTGCAGAACAATTTTAAAGCAAACTCTAATCATAAAAAAATATCAAATATTTCCAAACTTGTATTAAAAAAAAATTATTAATTTATTCAAAAAAAATTTTTTTATAATAAACATATTAATTTTTTTTTTTTTGAATAAATTAATAATTTTTTGCAAAAGATGATTTTTACTGATTAATATTAATATTAAACATAATATTAATATTAATCTGTAAAAATCATCTTTTGCATTGCTGTACTGCGAGTGGCAATGATAACAGCACGATTAATTAAAAATGTTTTTTATTTAATTGAAAAAAAAAATACTCATTCATTGTGCTAAAGTCATTCCAAATACAAATAATCCTATGAGACCAATTTTCAGAGGAATCTCATGTGACTTGGAATAAGTGCTTAAAGCATTATTGAGAGTTTCACACCAAAAAACGTCAAAACAAGACATAAAGATCTTTTAAATTGGGTTCTTTTGTCTTCAGGTACGTATATTTTTTTTCTTCGACAACCCATTACCATTATCAGCACACTAGTACTGATAATTGTAGTGGGATTACCAGTGTACTGAAAATAATATTTGATCACAGTGACCAACTATTTTGTTTTTAGGCCCCTAAACTCTCTTCAAGCACCTAGAGGTGTACATGATTACTTTTGGTAGAGTATTTATCTATCATTAAAATCCATTCTTCAAGAAATCCTCATCTAGGCCCAAGCAAATAAAAACATTGTTATTATTTAAGTTTTTTAATATGTTTGCTGCTGTATGTAATGCACTTTTTCAGAAACATGAAATAGTCTGTCAATAGTTAGTCTTGGTTTAGGCTAGAGGACTGGTAAAAAGAATTTAATAGGTTTAACAAACTTTAGTTTTGCGTTAGATGCAATAGTAGTTAAATTGTTTCGAACCGTTTACATATAGCTGACTTTTCTGTATCTGATGACTAAGGTGATTTTTTAATACAGTTTGCATTAATTTATTTTATTTTTGCTGAGTTATTTAAGAGTCTTTTTCGTGTTCTTATTTGCAACTAACTGAATTCGATATTCGAAATTCGAAATTCGATATGTTGATGTCGGTTTTTTTCATTAGAAGTGATGTTTGGTCAAGGTTTTGATAAATTCCGCCAAGTGTAAAAATCAATAAACTGCACAAGTGGGAACTAAAACCTATAAGTAATTCGGTTTTATTAAGTGATTAACTTATAGAACTAGTTTTGAAAAAAGTAAACCTAGTGCAGCTATAAAAATCTGTATACCACGACGTTTTTTTTGCATCGCAATTAAATATTTTCTAAACTGTTTTGTGTTTATTATCCTTTTTAACTTTTCCACTTACTTATATATCTATTTTTATCGCTATAAATTATTTAGTTTAGCATGAATTGAAAATAAATAGGAGGGACTAGGAACGTATTAAAAAATAAATAAAAGTTGAAATCTTCTGCAAAAGAATATGTGAAATAGACATTTTATTTTACTTAAAAGAGAGTCAGAGGCAACATGAAAATATAAACAGATTTTCAAAAAGAATCGTTTATAAACAATAACCAATAATTTTTCATCGTAATATATCAACATCTTTAATTGTTTAGTCACCTACTACAATATGATTTTCAAATAGTTTAACAACACTTTACAATGATGGCAAGATGAGAAAGCTTATTATTTTTTTGGTATTGGAATAGTTACTATGCTGAAAGTGAACATAAAAACTATTGAATAAAATACAATAATGTTGATTAAAATAATAATTCATTAAATCGCAAAACATGTTTTATCAACAGACTTTCCAAAATAATTCTGCTGTTCAGCAAGGTTTATTTTGCGGCCCATGTGCTTTACTTTTTTTTTTTTTTTTTAAAAAAAGATGATAAGGGTTCAAACCCTTTACCAATTAAAATAGACTTAAATAATGTTAGATCATAAAAACAGAGTTTTATTAACACTTGAGAACAGTAGCGTTGGAAAGTTTTTTAAATGATTAAATTTTTAAAACTTTTAAACACGAAGAATACTCCAAATTTTTTTACGTTTATATGTATGACGAAAAGATTCTTCACAAAAAAAATTATTGTGAGGAAAATGGGAACATAAAACCCTAAAACCTTAGCCCCCCAGGGGGCTAAGATTTTATGGTTTCTTGTTCTTATTCTCCT